CAATCCACCTGGATGTCTACTTCTGGGATTCTGAACTTTGAAGGCCAGACTGAGACCCTCATTGACTAGGAACAGCCAGGAACCCAGGAACAAATTCCAGTCTTGCTAGCATCCAAGGCTGTAAATCTAAGGAACAATTGAAGGCAGTAGACGATTGAGGGGTGCTGAGAATTTCCAAACCCAAAGATGTGATATTGGCTATGGATGGGGGAGAAGCAGGAAATCACCAGGGATTCTTGATAAATCACCCATTGTCCTTTGGAGCTCAAAGGTGTCTAACAGTTATGACCGACTCAAATCGCACTACTGCTAGGAGTTAGGGTCTCTATCCCGAACAGAAGTGGTGAAACAGAGGTAAAGAGCAAGAGGTGGTTACACAGCAATGCAGTGGCTGAGCCAGAAAGAACCATAAGAAAAACATTCATCAAAAATGTTTTGCATTTAAAACTACCTGATTTCTTAAAGAAAGGAAATACTATCTGTAGTTAGTGAACTGAATTGATACATTCTGGTCACCATATCCTTCCAGATGTATGAACTGGTAGATCTCATCCCCTCACATCTAGTGCTTATTCCTAGATTGAAGGAGGAAAACAAGTCTGCCCTCTTTGTCAACTCCCAATGTGTTTCTTAAATTCAATTAACTAGTCATTGAATTGAACTAGATGAATAAACGGAAATGAAGAATATATTCCTTCTGCACATTCAAAGGAAGGGCTACTGCTGTCTAAAGCTGTTCTAGCACTTCCACTAACTCTGGTTCCAGGTGCTTCAAGTAGTTTGACTATCCTTAAAACTTGGCAGTAAACATGTACTACCTAATATGGATTTTTTTCTATTCTCCTGACATTATTTTAAGAGATTATAATAAATTTAGGCCTTAACATAGATTGTCAAATTCAAATTGAATTTTAAGCAGGTTTATTTTGAATGAAAAAACCTGTGTTGCGTTTAATTTAAAAAAAACCCAGTTCATATTTTAAAAATCCTCTATTGTTAATTCACCTGGCTAGGGATGGAAAAGCCTCCTGGCTCATTTCCCACCCCAGGAAGGGCTGATCCTCAATCCAAGGTCTAGGGCTGGGCTCCTCACTCTGTACTGGGCTGAAAGTCCAGAACTAAACACTAGGAATTTGGATCTGACCATTGATGGTGCAGTGCTGCATAGCACTCACGGAGCGGCTTTTCCTGGGTAAATCTCACAGCGCTTTACAATAGTGAGTAAGTATTAAGTCATCATTTTACTGCTGGGGACTGAAACACGAGAGGGGAAATGGCTTGCCCGCGGTCCATAAATCAATAGGAAAACTGCCAATGAAAGCCAGGAGGCCTGCCTCCCAGTCCCCTGCCTCAGTCACTCCAGCCGGTCACACTCCCTCTCAGAGCCAGGGAGACTGGGAATAGTGACCTGCTTGCAATAGCCATCTCTGGAAAGAAATGTTCTCTAGCGATCAGTGTAGGGCCCTGGACACAGGGCTCCTGGGCTCCATCCCTGGCTCTGTCACTGTCACTGCCCAGGCCACAGTTTTCTGTCAGTGGGGTTGGAGTCCCTCCCCTATAGGCCTTGTCTTGTCAGGCTTCAGGAATGTGTATGAGGTGCTAGGAGACCTTGAGACAGGAGGCGTCCTGCCCGCGGTATGTCAGTGTTCTGGACCCCGGCTGCTTGCCTGAGTTTATCCCTCCTTTGGCAATAAAACATAGTCTTGTTTTCACAGCCACTGTCAGCCTCCCGGTTTCTACACCCTGCCCTGCTGGCAGGGCATTGTGCAGCTCCCTTTCCAGCCCCCCTTGGTGCGGGAGAACAAGGAAGAGGGCAAGGGACAGACCAACGCTGAGTATCTGCCACCCAGCACTGCGCCATCTAGAGCTAGTGAGTGGCATGTAGCATTTCCTCAGAGACTTCCCTGTTCTGCTTGGGAAGGGGCAGATATGGGGGGGAGGGGGAATCTCCTCCAAGTGAGACTAGATTTGCTAACACAGCCCCCTGCAGCCCTTCGCTCTGGGCCTGGGCAGGGTGTTCTCCAGAGCCACCTCCAGCATGGTGGAAATAGCCCAGCAATAGGGCTCCCAGCCCTTCCCTTGTAGGAGACTGTTCCCCAGGCTGAGTCTCTGGGGGGGTCAGACCTTGCCAGCTGCTGAACACCCACAACCCCCATCAGTGGGAACTGAGAGGGACTCATGCCTCATATGATTGGGACCTTGTGAAGTTTAGCTGGGGATGAGTTCACAGGGCAAGCTCAGATCCCTTCCCGGGTTCTGTTCTTTCTCTAGTCAGGGAGGGCTTGTGGTCTGTGGGGGAGGAGGGAGCTGCTTGTCCAAACAGCCTGAAGACCCCACTGCTCTGAAAGGATGAGACTCCCCCGGTGTCACAGTGCCTCAGTGGGGAGGGGGAACTTTGGGAGCAGCCTGTGCTGTGAGCTGCTGCCAGTGTGTGTAGATTGCAGTCCCTGAGCCCCGTGGTGGGGTGTGCAGTGAGGGGGAGTTGCCCCAGCCGAGGGAAGGTGGGGGCGGAGCAGGCAGGCCCCTTAGTGAGAGGCTGCCTTGACCCCAGACTCATGGCTGCTCCCCACTCAGTTCCAGGATGGAGAGGCTCAGGCAGATGCTAGGGAAGAAGGCTGCAGAGGTGCCTTCAGAGCCAGTGGGAAGCAACTGCTGGCTTCCATAGGAGAGCAGCCTCTCTGTCCCCGCTGGCGGGGAAGCAGCATGTGTCCAGGCCAAGCGCTGGAAGTTCCTGGAGGAGGAAGACACCTTCTGGGCCAACATGGAGGTGGCCCAGGGTGCAGCTGTGCAGGAAGGACCCAGGACAGGGCGGGAGCTCCACCTACTCCCGAGGGGCAGCAGCACCTCAGAGGAGTGTGAGAGGCCTGAGGCTGAAGGCTCCCGCAGTGCAGGTGAGGGGAGACCCAAGGGAAAGGGAGAAGGACTAGGGTGGGGAGGCTAGTAACACCCTGTGTCTGTTGCTTTGCCAAGGTGTTTGGCCTCAGGCACATGATCCCCACTGACACCAGTGGGAGTGGCACATCCACACATAGCGCAGGGCATTCTGGGTGGAGTCGGGGGAGCTCCAGCCTCCCGGGCCCCTGATGGTGTAGGGGGCTGGACTGATTGCCATGGGGCCCTGAGGCTGATGGGGCTGCAGGCGTCTCTGGGAGGGGCTGGGGGGGCCCTCTCTGCCATGGGGTTCCTTACAGAGGAGGGGGGCACATTCTTTCTCCACTGCACCCCGTCCTTCCCCTCTGCCGCAGCAGGAGTCATCCTTTCTCCTTCTCTGCCTGGTGCAGGGACCCCCAGTTTCCTGCTGGAGGTCGAGGAGGAGGAGGAGGAGGACATGTCCCTGGAGGAAGCTGCCATCAGGGTCATCCAGCAGTATCTCCAGGGCAGAGATGAGGTACAAAAATCCCCCTGCTGAGCTGGCGCCAAGTTGGTCCTGTCCCTTGTTCCATCCCCACCTCTTGCAGCGGGGTCTTGTCCCAGAGAACCCATAACCCTCTAAAGGGGGACACTTCTCCCATGTTATCTGGGACCCCCCAGAGAGGGTTTTTGTCCTACAGAGGCCACAGTCTCCTCCCCCCACTCACATTGTCCCAGTTACAAACCCTGCCTGTGCAGGAGGACACAGTGATTTCAAGAAGGGGGGGTGTCTTTTCCTGTGCAACCCCATGGAGGATCTGGGCCCTGGAGCTGGTTTGGGTGGGGTGGGGAGGTCCCTACCTAAAAGGCTCTCTCTCCCCCAACCCCACTCCTAGGGTAGATTGGCTGAGCCTCTGGAGGTTATTCGCCTTCCTCCGCAGCATGGGGCAGGGATCACTAGCAGGAGGGTCTCTGCCGATTGAAGTCACTGAAA